TGGTCTGTGTTTACCTTAGAGTATCACCACTGTACCACTTGGAATAAGGGCACTCTGGTGAGGTCAGTGGTGTTTGTGGCTAAATATCTGCACGTAGGCACCTTGTATTGCTCACACTTCCACCCCCTGTGCCATTATGTAATGCCACGATCCAAACAGTAGCTGCTACGTAAACTTCTGTGTTGCTACTGGAGAATACGTCTCACACAGTGCAACCAAATGAAGCAGGCACTGCTAGTACTATACTTCGACTATCTTTATACAGAGGTCTCTCTCTCTATTCAGAGCAAGAGGGTCCACTATCTCTATACAGAGGTCTCTCTCTCTATTCAGAGCAAGAGGGTCCACTATCTTTATACAGAGGTCTCTCTCTATTCAGAGCAAGAGGGTCCACTATAGAAACCGTAGATATAATATTCACACAAATTTGGGACATTAATTGTCACACACACACACTTTAGAATGAGTTTGGTTCTGTAAACCTTTTACGAGATTGTAAACAACAACAAAATAAACAAACAACAGTTGTGGACAGACTTACTCTCAAGAGAACTGCGATTGTTGTAATTACTGTGAGAAGTAACATCACTGATAGTCTGGAGAGGAACGAGAGAGGGAGAGGGAGAGGAAAGGGAGGATAAATATGGCTTAGCACACTACCATCAGAAATTGCATCAGAAATTGCATCAGCTACAAACAGACCAGAGGGATTCTATTTGGTTAGAAATTTGTAGTTTCAGAGCACGTGATGGGTGTGGCTTACGTGTAGCAATAGTAAATGCCGAATTACATCATGTTATCATGACACAGCTATATATAAGTGCCCTAATACAAGAAGGGGATTACCCACGGTATTACCCTTCACTACATATGGGCACACCACAACAATACATTCCCCCCCTTCCCAGCAAAGTTACACTTTCAGGGAGCGCCTACATCAACAAGACTGAAGACTGAAAGTATATTGTTTACTGGAAAGTCCGCCCTACCATCATTGGGACAGAGTATAGTGTCCACATCCCTGAGCATTATACAGTGGAACTCCTCTAATCCAGACACCAATGGGACAGAAGAAAGTGTCCATATTAGTGAGGTGTCCTGAGCATTATACGGTGGAGCTCCTCTAATCCAGACACCAGTGGGACAGAAGAAGGTGTCCATATTAGTGAGGTGTCCTCATTTCAGGGGTATGCAAGAACTGTTCTCTTGGGGGAAATAAAAGGTGAGGACAACTCTAAAAATTAGGACACCATTGCAGCAATGTGCAAAGTCACCAAGGAGATTTCTTCTTCTCCCTTCCTGATACTGATTGGCCAGACATATACATCCGGCTTGTGGTATGTCATAGTCCTCCCGGCAAGAATTACCAAAGATATGCACAGTATGTGGCGGGAGGCTTGGGAATGAAGCCTTACCTTCTCCCAGACACTGGGAGATCCTTCTAACTTCCTACTGGTCTGTTATGAGACTATCATACCTACTACATGTACATATGTACTTCATTACATTGTATGTAGGAACATCCACGCTCTTTCTGCAAATAATTCTGCTCCATTTGTCAGCCTAATTACTATGAAGCTACATTGACCGTAGCATCATACATTAATATGCGTTGATTTTGTTCCAGTTTGACGGGAAAAACAGGTTTTTTTTTATAGCGAACACTTTCAAGCTAATCAGGATGGTTAAAATTGGGAATGGCACGGGCTGTACATGTGCCTTGTGTAGGTGTGATTGGGACGGCCAGATGATGAATATCGTACCACCCAGCTTGTGAAGAATTTGCAAGCCATGCAAGTAGAGATAACTATAAACAAAAGTGTAAGCAGCTGAGTTGCAAGACCCAGCACTCCAACAATGTATGCAGGACCATACAATAAACTCTTTACTAGGGCGAGTATGCTGTAACTTTCACTACTTTGTCATTGTTCAGCCTCTCCCCGAAGGTCCACCAAGCGACATACTACGTGGCTATTTATATCCCATGTAGGCGTATACACTTTCGCACCTTCCTAGGTAGGTATTACACGCGTGTGTTTACAACTACACGTAGCATTATATAATTAGTACATCAGCTAACCTCACGCAGACCTCGACGTGGTGTTCTACGTAGCACCATCTGGCGTCGTCCTCTTGAAAGTGAGCCGGCGTGGAGTTGGTCATGTTTTTGTGCGTGTCGTTCCCTAGGATACGGAACCCACCGAAGTCGGTCATCTCGGGCGCCCGTCCCGACAGTTCAGGCGTCAACATCGCAGCGCGTCCAAAGCCAAGACCGTGCTGCTCGTGACCTCCACGAAAGTGTAGTAAACGTCTTTGATCTTGGAGCAATCTACTAACTCGCTTGATGAGCGTATCGTCGCCACAAAGAAGTCCGTGCGTCTTGTGGTTGCGCGCAACTACCAAAGCGACGATTGGTTCTGCTGAGTCAGCAACGCATGGGGGAACACTAAACCTCGCGCATGCGCACACTTCGAGCTAGCTGGCTAGCTAGCTAGCTAGCTCTCCTCGCGCTGCTTTGCATCACTGCACACCACACCCGCGCGTGTGCATGGGGGGTGGTGCCGAATACGCATGCGCAATAGGCACAGTCAGTTAATTCAGGCCGCGCCGCGCCAACATCGCAGTTCGTCCAAAGCCAAGCGTGACCTCCACGAAAGTGTAGTAAACGTCTTTTGATCTTGGAGCAATCTACTAACCCGCTTGATGAGCGTATCGCCGCCACAATGAAAAGGCGTCTTCTGGTTGCGCAACCACTAGCCTAGCAACCACCACCAAAGCGAGACGATTGGTTCTGCTGAGTCAGCAACACATGGAACAATACACTTCGCGCATGCGCACACTTCAAAACGACGGACAGTTCATTTCCAAGAGGCGGCTGGTTTCTTGTAGATGTCCAGCCTCGATTTCCCTCCGCCACCGCCTCCCCGTTGGCTTGTTCTGGATTTCACCTCTCTCTCTCTTGCCTCAGCCATTGCCAGCTCTTCATCATACCTGCATACATACATATACATACATACATACATACAATCGAACCTCCAAAAACATGAAAAGGACACTTTTATACAATATTTTCCACTTTTTCAGCCTTGCAAGTTTCCTACATTTACTCATGAATCCCCACCCCCCCCCCCCCCCCCCCCCACCCCCCCCCCCCCCCCCACCCCCCCCCCCCCCCCCCACCCCCCCCCCCCCGACTCCCCGCCCCCCCCCCCCCCCCTGGCCCCCCACCCCCCCCCCACCCCCCCCCCCCCCCCCCCCCCCCCCCCCCCCCCCCCCCCCCCCCCCCCCCCCCCCCCCCCCCCCCCCGCCCCCCCGCCCCCCCGACCGCGCCCCACCCCCTTCACTCACCCCCCCCCACTCCCCCCCACCCCCCCCCCCCCCCACCCCCCCCCCCCCCCCACACCACCGCCCCCCCCCCCACCTCACGCGCCCCCCCCCCCCACCACCAGCCCCCCCCCCCCTCCCGGCCTCACATCAGGTGAAGACGTTACAGACTGAGAAGCTGTTACCCCCGGCCCCTCCCCCCGTCCCCCCTCCCCCCGCCTACCCCCCCCCCTACCTTCCACCACCACCCGCCCCCTCCTCTGCTGCCTCGGGCGCCCCCCCTCCAGCCTACCCACGTACCCCTTCCTTCCTGTCCCGCTCCCCGCTGTCCCGTCCAGAGCCCCCCCCCCCCCCCCTCTCCGCCCCCCCACCGCCCCCCCCCCCCCCCCCCCCCCCCCCCCCCCCGCTCACCCATTACCCAGCCCCGCCACCAACCCCCAAACAGGTAACCCCCGCCGCTCCCCCCCCGCCTCCCCAAACCCCGCGCTTCCTCGCTCCCGCCCCCCCACCCCCCACGCTCACCCCCGCCCCCCCCCCCCCCCTGGGCCCTCCGTCACGCGCCCTTCCCCCGCTACCAGACACCCCCCCCCTCCGGCGCCGCCTTCCCCCCATCCGCCCCCCCCCGGCCCCCACCCCCCCGCCCCACCACCCCTCCCCCCGCCCCCCCCCTTCCCCTCCCCCCTTCCTGCCGCGCCCAACCGGCCTCCCCCCTTCCCCCCCAACTGACCGCCGCCTCGACCATCGCCCCCCGGCCACCTCCCAACCGCCCCCTCCGTCGCCACCCGCCCACGCTCCCCGACACATGCCGCCCACCACCCTTACCCGAACCCGCCTCCCTTCCTCCATCCCTCCACCCCCTAGCCTGCCCGCCCCCAACCCCCCCCGGAAACCCCCCCCCCCCCCCCCCCCCCCCCGCCCACCCCCCCTCCCCCCCTACCCCCCCCCCCCCCCCCGCTCCCCCTCGCCAACCCTCCCCCCCGCCCGCCCCCCCCCCCGCCCCCCTCCCCCCCCCAACAGCGATCAAACTTCCGAGTGCTCTTCTTTTGACGGCGATTGCCCCATCCTGACACTACAATACAAAGAAAAATGCCAAAAAGAAAAGGAATAATGTTAAATCAGTGACCAAACTCAACAAATCAGTTGTCTCACAACTATTTACAACACATAACATTTTCTCATTTAGGGATTACTCGCGGAAATCCAGAAGGAGAGAGGACGATATTGATGATGTCTTCATTAGCGACTCTTCATGATGCGATCATTGGTGGTGGTGTAGGCTAGGGAGGGAGAGGGCATTCAACCTGGAGTATATATATAAATGTAAGTGAGGGCATTATAGTCGATTAAAACCCTTACAGTCAGCCAAATGTGGTATAAATATTAACATATTCTAGTCATTGTCAGGGATCATTGTATACGATGTGACGTGGCCAGTCGAATCGTTTTGAATGCACAAATAACTGACATAGCTCCCTCTTAGATGCCAAAATACCATCTCATTGTTTGATCTCATTATATGAACATCAATCAAGCCATGGTTGAGATGGTCATCAATGATCCCATCAAACCGACATACAAAGAGAGAAACTATGTGTAATACAAATTAAATGGAAGAGACGACGAAGGTCAATGTACCCGTAGCATTACGAAGCAGTGTCTGTCGCTGGACCATGACGTTCTGAACGGCCTTCAGAGAGTGCACAATCTGCCAGTGATGTCTCAAACACCTTGTCCGATGCTGCAGACAAACTGGTGGTTTATAATATATGAAAACTAGACGAACACCTTGTCCGATGCCTGCAGGACAAAAATGGTGGTTTATATATAGACGAGGGAATAAGACTTGCAAAAACCACTGAATTGCGAAATGATAAAAGCAGCTGCTAGCCAGCTGTTTTATTTTAAGCTTGTGGTATAGGGATGACGGGATGAAAAC